CCCCAAAACCCCAAAACCCCAAAACCCCAAAACCCCAAATTTTTCTCATAAAATTGAATTTATAAATGAGAGCTTCATGTAGTTATAATCGTAAGGTCACCTTACCCAAGCACTTCCTATTAAAACAGCTTAACAAACATTCACAATTAATTCTTTAGGGAAACCTAGAACATTGTGCCAGACCTTGGAGGCCATATTTGACATTGGATGGCTGACTACAATACTTCTTGGGATCAATCTAGGCTGCTTTGTCTATGAGATGTCTATGCCCCCTGGAAAGAGACATCATGCTTGGTACATGCTTTGTGCTTCTTCACTTAAGATGAATGAGGTGTATAGGATTGTTACATCTGCATTTTTTCATATAGGTATTTTCCATATATTTATGAATATGACTACTCTTGTTGCCTTGTCTCCAGTTTTGGAGAAACACCATGGCTTTGTGAAGTATTTGCTCCTGAATTTCATTTTGATCATTGGACAAGGCTGACTTTGATTCTTAATGATGCATGGAATGACCTATGTTCCAGTGAAGTACAATGGGATAGGGAGTACTTACAGTATTTGAACAGTAGGATATTCTGGTGTCTTGAGTGGCTATACGTTGTTCTGGTCTTTTATTGGGGATGAAGAAGTGGATGTGTGTGGTGTTGTGAAGATTAGAAAAGTGTTCTTCCCATGGGTTTGACTGATAGTTGTGCAAGTTATTAGTAAGTCTCTTTTTGATTACGGGTTTAGTACCTAATGTGAGTTTTATTGGGCATCTGAGTGGAATATTGTTTGCATGCATAATGAGGTTCACTTTGTTTACTAAGGATGAGAAAATCTGCGGGGATGAAGAATATATCTATGCAAAGTTTATCAACTTCATCAGAAGAAGAAAATCTAGCTATTCAAGATTCCACGATAGTGATATGAAAGGAATGAGAGTTGGATCAAGCTTGAAAGAAATATAGAGTCTAATTTTCCCCAAAATTCTTAACCTCAAATTCCTCTCAATATTCATTACCACCAACGGGGTTTTGGGGTTTTGGGGTTTTGGGGG